GGATTTTACACCAGCCTGGAGGGAGCCCTTCACCCTTTCCCAGGGGAACAACTACCTGATAGGTAGATGAACCTGTAGACAAAAACCTGATTAGGCGACAGGCCAGGGAGGGTTAATCAGATTAAAACAGCCCACCAACAAGCCATAAAAACCCCTAGATGTAACCACCAAAACAGCAACCCTCTCGGGTCCCCTCCCTCTTTGGGAGCTCTGTACTATGGATCAATAAACTTTGCTTTGCTGCCCACCACTCTTCCTCTGGTCTACCTCTTCATTCTTCCAAACCGTGTGACCAAGAGCTGGAGGCACTAACTACAGGAAAAGAAATCCTGGAACACCAAGATCAAGGGTCACATGCTCTACTGACTGAGCCAGCCACGCATCCCCCCAAAATCTATTATATTGATAAAGTATCTTACAATAAATCGTACCTCACAAAGAAGTATTTTTACACAGGGAAAACACTCTGGATTAAAAACAAGGATTGCCAGACAGGCCTCTATACCACTAGAACAGCAAGATCATATGGGGCGTGACGGTAACCATAATTCTTTTTTTTTTTTTTTTTAATATTTTATTTTATTTGAGAGAGAGAGAATGAGAGATAGAGAGCACAAGAGGGAAGAGGGTCAGAGGGAGAAGCAGACTCCCTGCTGAGCAGGGAGCCCGATGCGGGACTCGATCCCGGGATTCCAGGATCATGACCTGAGCCGAAGGCAGTCGCTTAACGAACTGAGCCACCCAGGCGCCCCAACAATATTTACTTTTTAAAGCATTATTATATCAAAAAGTGAGTCAAGAATGATACCCTTTATTTCCCCCAGTTGATTTTGCATTAAGCATTACCTTTTGTTAGCATCTTCAACAACCCTACAGGAACAAATAATTATTTCATTTTCATTATAATTAGGTAATTTGTACAATATATACAGGGTTAAACAAACTCCACTAGCTACATCTTTCTATTTTTTCACATCCTACATATAAATCCTTATTTAACTAGTCAAATCAGAAGGAATATGATTCAGATATGGCTGAGTCTGAAAATCCAGTTCCTTAACGGCTTTATAATTTTTGGCAGATCATTAAGCTACTGAGCCTTAGTGTCATTATCTGTAAAACGGGAGTAATACACAGGCTTATGATTGCATAAAATAATACAGATCAATAATACCATGTCAAACCCAGCGTAGATACCTAATAAACATTAATTCCTTTCCCCACTCCAGACAACGCAAAATAGGAACTAAAAAAGGAGTACTGTTAAGATTAGGGGCATTTAGCCGTTAGACACAAAAATGAGAACTACAAAATAAAATTTACCGGCAGAGTGTGAAAATTCTTTAAATGCCTACACAATCAGGATTATGCCAACTCATGGTTAAATGTAATTTTCTAAATGTGCCATCACTTTCAAACAATTTTCCTCATTTATCAGTAATTTCTAAGTACATACCCAATCAATAACTGACAAGGAATCATAAGCCATCGTGAGTTGAATGTCACAGGAGCCAAATGTCAAAAAACAAAAAAAGTTTATTCGCTGTTTAAATTGTGTGGATTTAAATATATGCTATTCTATCTGATATGGAATGAATGCCCCCCTACCCCCGCCCGCCTCTTTAAAATAGAGGACGCCTGGGAATAAAATGTCTGGAAAGGGCTTAAGAAATCAGGGAGAGATCGCAACAGGCGGAATGAAACAACTTTCTGAACACATCCGTGTTAACGGAAAGTTGACGCCTCTCCAATAAAGCTACTGCAGCCACAAGGTAATCAGATGGCATGGTATGTGCCGTTCTCGGCACTGGCCAGTCCACGCCTGTCCTAAGGAATTAGACTGGAGTTTTCCCTTTCGGCACGACCCACAGCTCAGGCGAGAACACGCCAGCACGCTGCCGGGAACCACTCGTGTAACTCCTAGGTATCCGAAGACTCCGTTTTCACAGCCAACACCCACCACGTTTTGAGACCCCCCTCCCCAAGCTCCTCCCGCGCCCGCCTCGCCCCAATATTCGCACATGCGTACACCCAATTAAGAGAGGTTAGACCGCTCCCCCTCGAAGTGGGTCCCCACGCCCAGATGCCACGCAGCCAGTCCTCCTGCCCTTCTTAGGGCCGCTAGCTTCACTATCCAGTAATACGCATGTGTGAGACTGTGCCGCCCGGCAACCCTTTAGCCGGCAGGGGTGGGGCGGCAGGCGGGACCGAGTTTCTTGCGCACGCTCGGGACATGCGCAGTACAGTGGCTGAGGCGCCAGCTGTCGATTTGGAAGTTCCGGGGGGGGCAGCGCATGCGCGAGTGTACGCGTTGCCGGCGAAGAGGGGAGCCTGACGACTCGGAAATTTGAATACCACAGTAGCATGGAGTGTGACCTCATGGAGACTGACATCTTGGAGTCGTTGGAAGATCTAGGGTAAGGCTGCCAGGGTACGGGTCTCCTAAACCTCACACTGCCGGCCCCCGGGAACACCTCCTCCGCCCCAGTCGGGGACACCTGCCTCTGCACGCCGCACCCGGTGGCTCCTGCCTGTCGCCTCCTTATGGCTCCGGGACCCCAATGCCACGTCCACTGTCCGCCCTGCCGGGTCGGGGCCCTCCTAAAGCGACGACCCTAGGCCTTCCCTGCGCTCCCTGCAGCCGAGTTACCCGCAGCGTTTGTCAGTCATGCGTGTCATTGTCTGGGCTCTGGCTTCTCGCCACCCCCCTCCCCGAGCTTCTCTTCTTGCTCCCCATCCTCTTGTTCTACCCCCTCACTCTAGAGGTTGCCAAAGTTAATTCTCTTTTTTTCGTAGTTGTCCTCCAAACTTCCTGCTCCTCTCTTGAGCCCCTGTTCCTACCCCACCCCGTTTCTCTCAAAAAATCTTCTTTGCCCAGTCATCTCTGCATGCACTCAGGCTTCCCTAAGCCACATGCCTGCATCCCTTCCGCTAGCCAGCTCACTTATGCACCTCACCTGTCACCACCTTCATGGGAACCACTCACTGGCTGTTTCCCTTGACAGTGACACTCTACTTCGTCGAGCCACCATTTAGCCCTTACCCTTAGAGGCATCTTCAGCCACCAAGTCCCTACGTGTTTGTTGTGCATTTCCTTTCTTCTGACAATTACCCAACCATAATTTAGTACCTAGAAGCTGGAAATAGGGCTTCTTACCTCACTGGGTCCCTGAGATTAGTGTACTCTAAAACTTGAGAATTTAGAACCTCTTGGTCTAAGTGTGATCCCAGAAACAAATTGTGTGATTAAATATTTGTCTACAGGTAAATGGTGTCCAAAATATATATAGATAGATTTAGCTAGCTATATTTATAAAGTAACAAGTCCTTTATCAAAACCTTCCTCAGAGGTTTTTCTATGACATGGAAACCTTTGGGGGAACCTTTTTTAGGAAAGGACACCGTGAGGTTCTCAGAGTCTGCCCGTTTAAGTCATTGCTGTCCTGATGGAAATTTTTGGGAGAAGAAGTGGTAGTGCTTAAATCTTTTTTCTTAAAGTGAATTACCATTGTTCTTTTTTTTGGAACTTGCTCTGAATTTTCATGAATATTCCAGACTTTAGGGGACTTATTTCTTTGATTAGAGCGTAGGTAAAAGTCACATTCAGCAAAATGGTCTCTTTGGTGGACATCTCAGACTAAATTGCTTGCTCACATATAAATCCATTCATTCAGTAAACATTTTCTTGAACACTTGCCCCTTGGCAGTGTTGGGCTGATCATTTATGGGTCAAAGTGAGGTGGAAAAGAAGTTCACACTGTCAGAATATTCTGTGAGGAGAACTGAGGAAGGTCCCTTTATTTGGAAAGGAATGAAGTCCTAAAAGCTTCCTAGAAGAAATGACAATTAGGGTTAGCATTGAAGGAGTAGTAAAATGAGAGGAGAAGGGAGCCTTATTTAAATGTGGTTGTGCTGCTTGGGTAAATGTTGCCTAGCAATTGGTGATGGATGCTATTTCTTCCCATTGTTCTTCTACCCTTTAAACTATATTTTTTTTCTTTTCTGGAGTACTAAAAAAAGTAATTTTTACTATAATAATTGTAAATTAAGTAAATATTCTAGATGAGTTGTAATGTAAACCGTCAGATTTTCTGAAAACTTTGCTATGAATTTTAAGCCTAACCAATTAGTTTGGTGGCATTCAATCATTAAGATTCATACTTAATTAATTGACATGTACTTTTAAAGGATTCACTGAGAAATACTAAAATTTTAAATGACTTTTATCTTTAATGTGGCACACAGTAGGAATTCAATAACTACTTGTAGAATAAACTAACAAATTATGAATGTGTAACACAAGGAGAGATTTCTAGGCCTAGTCTCTTTATTGCAATGTCTAATTATATGTGGTTTTGAATCTAGATGCCAGACTATATATAATCTCACTTTTTGTGTAAGATTTTTTTTCCATTCCATTCAGTGTATAAAAACATAGGTGCATTTTAAAAGAATCAAGTATTGTCATTTCTCTAACATCTCTATACTTCCAAACATCAAATTATCTTAAGTATATTTAATGTTTCATCTTCAATAACTTTTTATCAATATTTCACTTAAAAGATAAAATAATCTTCTGGAGAATATATATTTTGAAATTACCCTGAAAATGACAGGATCTTTAGTTCTAGCTATATTCTAGGTTGGGGTTCTTTATTACTATTGTCATAAAGAATGTTTGCATATTTAATAATACTTTAAAATTATGCTTGAATCACTTTCAGAGGATTAGGATTCAGATGCACCAGTTCACCCAGACATCAACTTGCTAGCAATTATTAATCTTTTAAATTAATCCAGACATTTCTCTGGTACTAGTATGTCTTAATAGCCTTAACTGTCATCAAATATGGAAAAAGGAAATAAATGATTAGCTGGAAAGTTTTTGCTTTTAAAAAAATTAAAAAAAAAAAAACTAACCTAATTGATTTCTAGGAAAGGTAACTTAAATCGTAAGCTATAGTATAATCAGCTATCTCTTGTTAATGTGGTTTTAATATTCAGTTCAGTTAAAGTAAGAAAATCTTTGTACAGCAAGAGCTTTCAGTATAATGTATAGAGGTTGACATAATTTAGTAGTATATATGAGTCTCTTAAATATTTATATATATTTTGAAGAGTGGAAATGCAGTTATCATGTAACTTATTTTTCTAATAGATTTTATTAGTTTAAAATTTAAATTTTAGATTTAGTTTTCCATAAATTTTATTTACATTTGTAAGTTTGCAGAGTGGTCATCATAACTTATGAAACGATTATTTATTCATACAAATAATACATAGATATAGTGTTTGTATAAAATATTAGGTGTGATTTTATATTCTTCTGAAGTATAATTTTTTACTCACCAGTTACAAGGGTCCATTGTTGGAAGATGGCGCTCTGTCTCAGGCAGTCTCTGCTGGAGCCAGTTCCCCCGAGTTTACCAAACTCTGTGCTTGGCTGGTGTCTGAATTAAGAGTGTTCTGTAAATTAGAGGAAAATGTGCAAGCAACTAACAGTAAGTAAACATTCAGTTTTAGGTACAAAATATAAAAGTAAAATTGGGGAATTGTCAGTTGAACGTTATTAGTACTAAACCTGAAGTGTTCTTTGTAAGTTAAAAAAAAAAAAGATTTATAAAGAAACCCAAATACTTTTCTTTCCTCCATTATTTATAGAGATAAAGTGATTTTGGAAGTTGAGAAAACAGATTATAGTTGTGCAACTACTAAAACATTGTGGTAGTTGAAAAGACCTTACTACTGAGATACAGAAATGGGAGACAAGTATAGCATATATGAACTTTCCATTCTTTGTGAAACATGGCTTGTTAGTTCTTAAATCGGTGGCTAGAACTGGAAATTGGGATGTTTTTCTTAGATTCCAGAAGTACATATAGCATGTAAAGGAAATGCATTATAATTCTGTTATACGTGGGGAGAAAGAGAACACTTAAGAAGTTAGGAATGTATCACTAGATCCATCACAACCAGATGCAGCTCCATCAGATTTATGGCATTGAGAGCTGTTTTATATTTGCCAATTTTGTTATTGTATTAGCACTAGTTTGTTGACTCTGCAAAAGAGACAAAAGCTTGGAACCCAACACCCCACCATCTGGTTCCCTCCTACTATAGGTAAACCTACAATAGGAGACAAAGAAAAATGCTCTCTAGTTAACCTCCCCTCATGGAGAACTATACACATAATCCCTTTTTTTTCCCCCCACGTAGAATCGCATATTGAAGAGCTCATTTTCTTGCATGTTCAGTATATTTAATGTGCGCATGTTAGTTGCAGCCCGTTCTAATTACTAAGGACACTGTCATGTAACAGTAATGATAGCAGCAACTTACATTTATTAAACAATATGTTGTAAGCAGTTTCCATGTGTTAAGTCATTTAAAACCTGAGGTAGGTTTTATTACTCTTTTAGACATTAAACAAGGAAGCACAGCTAGGTTAAATGCACTGCGTGAAGTCACACAACTAGTACGTGATATAGCCAGAATTCAACCCCAGCAGTCAAGTTTGGGAGCCGGTACTCTTTAACACTGCCTCTTGACCTAACATTTCAGAGATTGTAGGAACTTGTGAAAACACCTATAGTAGATAACTATTTATAACCTGGAACCCCTTTGTTCAAATGAAAACATAGAAGCCAACATACAAAACAGTTAACAGTGTACCTGTTTAGTTGAAATTAAGAGGGAGTACTTTTTGCACAACTCTCTCCTCATCCTCCCCAGCTGTTTCTAAAGGAGTTCTGTGGAATTTGAGTTCACAGAACAGTTTGCAAAACAATGATAATACAGCCTTCCCATTTTACAGATGAGAAAATGCACCCAGGGTGCCTCGGTGGCTCAGTCAGTTAAGTGCCTTTGGCTCAGGTCATGATCCCAGGTTCCTGGGATCGAGTCTCGCATCAGGCTTCCTGCTCAGTGGGGAGTCAGCTTCTCCATCTCCTTCCTGCTCGTGCTCGCTCTCTCTAGCTCTCCCTCTCTCTCTCGCAAATAAATAAATAAAATCTTAAAAAAAAAGAAGAAAGTAAGGAAGAAAATGGACCCAGGTCAAATGACTCAAAGTTTGTTAATTTTTGCCCTTGTGTGATAGAGAACCATCAGAAAAGGAAGAAGGAGCATTGTTTCTCCTTGGTTCACAAGATGAACTCTGTACTTAACATGTTTGGGAATATAGAACTACAAGTCATGTTTGCTAACTTCAAATTTAATCTCACTGGGAATATTAGGCACAAATGAAACTGGAGATTAGTACAGTAATTAAATGCTTCACTTTGGTTCACAGGGGGAGGAAATCATTGAGTGCAGCAGGATTTGGGGAAGGTCTTATCAAGGAGCCAGTGGGCTTTGATGGAGAGGTGGGATTTGATAGATGAAGGGAAAGTAGAGGGTTTGTCAGTCACCGGGAATAACTTAAATGAAGGCACAGAAGTGGAAATGACACTGTTCTTGGAAGAGTGGGGAGGCTGGCCTGGCACAAATAGAATGTTTTTGAAGGTAAAATGTAACTGCTACATACCTGTCATAGGTACTACTATAGTAATATGCAGGGGAAGGTGAAGCATAGAGGCTATTAAGCAATCTTTAAAGGCAGACAAATAATTAGATTAGATGGAGTAGAAATTAGAAAACGATTAAAGATTCTCAGAAAAGGGACTAACGTAATGAGAACTTAAGAAAATTGGCAGTGGTGTGAGAAAGGATGAATTAGAAGTCAAAGTAACTTGTGCTAGGAAGATCCTATTAAAACTTTCCATTTATATATAACTTTTATGCTAAAGGGGAAAACAGTCATTTTTATTAAAGTTATTTTAATTCTTAAAAGGCCCAAGTGAAGCTGAAGAATTCCAGCTTGAGGTGAGTGGGCTACTAGGGGAGATGAACTGTCCATATCTATCACTGACATCTGGTGATGTGACCAAGCGCCTTCTCGTTCAGAAGAACTGCCTCCTTTTGCTCAGTAAGTTTATGGCTACTAGAATGTAGCTATTATTTTTTTATTCATGTTTTCTTTGACTAATAAACTGGCTGTTGTACTATTTCATTACATATTTAATTCAGAATGCTACTTAAAGAAAACTATTACATTTCCAACTTAGAAGCTAATGGTGGGCCTGTGCACTGGTAGCAGCATTTGTTTTGTAATTACTACTCTTTTATCATTTAACTTTGCTGGTACTATTGTGCTTCACCTAATATGACCAAAGTTAGCACCGAGTGTTCAAGTGTGTGATCATTAACCCTTAGCGTTCTAGACTGGAAGCACATTTTAAAATAGACTAGGAAGGTAGTGTGGGAATAATGAAGATTTTTTAATAAAATTAAAGTGTGTTATATTGTGGATATTTCTTTGTGGTTGGGTAATTGGGGGTTTTGGTTTTGTTTGTAAATATATCAAATTACAGGATAAAATTTTCTGGAATAGTATTTGAATTGTTCCTGTGCTTACTGATCATTCTGGGAAATTGTTACGAAAATTCTTTCCTTCCATGTTTTTTATATACTAACTACATTTCTTTCTTCACCCTGAAAAACAGTAAGTAGACTCACAAATTTTATTGCCTTAAATGAACTCTCCAGTAAACACAACCAGTAGTCTTAACTCACAATTTTTGTAGCAATCTCTGAGACACATTTAGATTAAGCTTTGGTTAACTGAATATTATAGTTCTTATTATGACACAGTTCAGAGGATTTTTAAAATATTATCTTTACAACTGTACTGGTTTCTGAAAAATGAGACAGCTCCAATTTTGAAGGTTCGTTTTTTTAAAAAATGTATTCATCACCACTATACCCAGGCACTGAGTTATTCCAGAATCACTTACATAATTTCCCCTTTGTTGAATGATTGTGGGGGATGGGAGGTAAGCACATAAGATCAGATACTGCTTTAAATACTGATACTGCTGCATGTTCTTATGCATGCATTCAGTATCCTTCAAATTGTGTGATTTCTAGAACTGGCTCAGTGACAGTGTACTCACTCATTCTACCAAAACCTAATATTTGGCACTCAGGATACGTTATCTTACATAGGAAGATAAGAACTTTATGGAAAGCTCAGTAATGACCATGAATAACTAATTCTTTCAAAGAACTAAGAGTTTGGCCTTTTTAGTGTTCCTGCTTACAAAAACCACTTTATAAAATGCCTTTGACTCCTTCCTGTTACTTAAGACTGCACTGAATATTATTTTGGGATCAGGGTTACAATTTATAGAGTTTATTTTAATACGCTATCACCTCAGAAGCTCTTCAGTAATATACAACTATTTGCTTCTCAACTAAATGACTAAAACCAACTAAAGTTTATGCTGCTCTTGGAATTCATGCACACATACACTATTCATTCCTCTTTATCTTTGCTTCTGCTGTTTCCCCTTTAAAATATTCCCCTCAGTTTGTATTCTCTCTGTCATGCTAGTATTTATGTGCTCATTTTCTATTCACTCTGTATAAATATTTCTCATCTTTCCAAGTATCAGTTGTCACCTCTTGATGCTATAATTTTACTTATTTCTCCAGCACCCTTTACCTTACTAATTTGAATCTTTTAATATGTTGTGTTCTGAGGGGGAAAATAACCAATCTCATTAGAATTTTTAGTAAAATAGAATAGTCTTTGAATGAGTGGCTAAAAGACTCTCCTGTGTCTGGTTAAGAAGTTTTGACTGTTCATTGCCTCTCTGGTTATCAGATTATTTCCTTTAGGTAAAAAAACAAAACAAAACAAAAAAACCCCTCAGATATCTGAGTTCCTAATAGATGAAGAATTATTCATCGTGAATGCATATATTCTTTATTCCTAACTAGATTGTCAGTAGAGATCATCTGTTTTGTTTGTTTTATATCTCCAGTGCCCTTCCTAGTACTTTGAACACATCAGTAACAGATAATGTTTTCTGATGGTAATTGTACTGGTGAACTAATTTTGTGGATGCCTGAGTTAATGTCCCAAATTTAGAGAACCGGTTTATTAAATCATATAATTTTCTAGAACAAGGGTTGGCAAACTTTTTCTTTAAAGGATGGGACAATAAATATTTTCAGCTTTGTGAGTCGGAAGGTCTTTGTCACAACTGTTTAACCTCCACTGTTGTAGCATGTACCAGCCATGGAGATTATGGAAATGAGTGTGGTAATGTTCCAGTAAAACCATATTTAGAAAAATAGTGGTTATTTTCATGACAGTGGAATTTTACTTTTTGATCTTCTAACTCCTACAGTTTGCTATATGGAACACATTAAGATTTCATCAAAGCCATTTAGAATGACCTTTCCAGAAACTTGCTGTATTTATTGTTCTAACATTACACCTTGGGTGTAAGAAATGAGATAGTCAAGCTGATCATTCTTTTGAACTTTTAATGAGACTTAAGATAAGCCCAGAAAATGTCTTTTTCCAAAACTATTTTTCTGATGTTGTCAGAAGGTTCTCACCCGAAATCCTGAGCTCCCAATGGTTATTAATCATCTTTCATAAGAATGTAAACGTCCTTGGGAAAGTTAAAGGAGTAAGTTTGAATATTTATACCTTCAATTACCTGAAGCAGATTGCAGCCCTCATTATGCCTGGCTGAAATCAACACATGAGGGGATGATATTGATACAAAAGAACTCTGTCAAGAAAAGATCAGAAAGTTTTATTGATGTTGTTTTTCAGGAGTGGGGAGGGGGGAGAGAATGAGGAAGGTAGAGGGAAAGGGAATACTGAGAACTTGGTTGGAAGAGGGTTTTCTTTAAACAGAGAGGGTGGCATTAGGCTACTGGAAGCCATGAGGAAGGAGCTTTGGGGAGTTTCATGTCTTCCCCCTTTTGTAAGTTTTGATTACTTGAAAATGTTTCATGCCAGTTCTGAACAGACTGCCTAAGTATTGGAAGGTAAGAGAGCAAGAGAGTTACATCACTGGTGCATGTCAGTGGTGAGAAGTAAAAAAATAATAATAACCGGTTCTAACTGTTTCCGAAGATTGGCCACCTTCCACCTTTTGTAAATTTGTTAACAGATGCCAGCCCTGTTCTGGAGTTCCTGAATAGTAGGATATAAGAATCCAGATTTTTAGACGTGATCTACCTTGATACTTTCGTTTCAAAGAAGAATCACTTATTTATAAGTTACCCTTTAAACATATATTGATTAAATACCTGAATTACAGAACCAGTTTATATGTTATGTCATTTGCAGGTAAAAATGGTTTTTTTTTCCATTCTTGCAGCTTTAAAAGTTACGTATCATTAGGTCTATAGAGTTGTGACTCCAGACTTATGACTATTAACTGTAGCTGTATCTCATTTTGAAATCTTATTTTGTTTACTTCAGCATACCTCATCTCAGAACTAGAAGCTGCCAGAATGCTCTGTGTGAATACTCCTCCAAAAAAAGCTCAAGAAGGAGGCGGTAGTGAGGTCTTTCAAGAGTTGAAAGGCATATGTATTGCTCTAGGAATGTCCAAACCTCCAGCCAATATAACTATGTTCCAATTCTTCAGCGGGATTGAAAAAAAAGTAAGACCTTTAGTACCAGATTGTAGTGTATTAAAGGCATAGTCCTACATTTGTTTGAAATGAAGCAAGTTAATTTCTCTTAATGGGAACCTAATGTGCATATTATTAATTGTTACTAAATGAGTTTTGGGTTTTAAGTCCTAGATACTTTAAAGAGAAGTTAGTATTTTACTTTTTTTTTTTAACTTGTCAGCATGTTTCTCTTTCAAAAAGGAAACTTTACACTTTGATTTATAAGCTGAAATAAGCTAGGTATAATGTAAAAAGAATGAAGACTTAAGTCCTTTTTAAAACTTTGTCATTGAACTTTAACGCAATTAATTCTTAAGTTCTTGATCATTAAATGTTACCACCCTCCTTTCGTTGACTGGACAGAAAAAGATGTAAATGTTTTTGGTTTTTAATCCAGTCACTTTGAATCTTATGTTTCAATTGGCAAACTAGGTTTGTTGACTGCTAACATAATCTAGTATGTGAAAATAATTCGGAATTATTTTTATGCCACACATTTAACAGTTAAGAGGTTTTTTTTAAATATAATTGACTAGGAATAAGCCATTTTAATAAATTAATGAATATAAGAGAATGGTATTTGTTATAGCAGGGTTATCCTCTGTATGCATATCTGCTGGACTCCAAGAATTGGTACATTTGCATTGTGGGGTAGATGGACACCATGATGCACAAATTTGGCTGAACTCTACAGGGGAGCAGCACTGTATTCATAGTCCATATTTTTCTGTGTGTTCATTCATCCATTCAGCAAGTACACATTGAGTGCCTGCTGTTGTCAGGCACTGTTCTAGGTACAGTGAAGGAATCATGCTTCCATAGGCACGTGAGGAGTGGGACAAGTGAGTGTCTTTATCGTGTGGGTCCTGTACATTTCAAAACATCTCCACCTTTGCCTCTGTCAGGAATCTTCTTTTGATGGCAAGATATGATGGGAATTGGGAAGATGAGGAGGATATGTTGTACTTTTAGATTTGTTTATTCATTCATTTATGTGTTTGTGTCAGCTAAAGGAGACATTAGCAAAAGTTCCACCTAACCATGTGGGAAAGCCTTTATTGAAGAAGCCAATGGGACCAGCCCACTGGGTGAGTAGCAGTCATCTTGAGTTGTCTTGGTAAAGAACCACTTACTTATCTCATGATGTTGACAGTTTGTGCTGTTTAGGTTATGTTTTCCAATATGTAGTTTCCTAGGTGGACATTCTTAGAATCCATTTTTGTGAATCTGAAGATTTATTCGGAATAATTTTACTTGTGTAAGATTAGAAACACTTATCTCATAATTTGTAAATATTTCACATAGCTGGTCAAAATAAATTGAAGTTCAGTATGTTTTTAATTGCCAAATGGGTTGCCTTCAAGCCAAAAACGTCATTGGGCTGAACTTCACACAGCAAATTATGGGAGCTAAATGAGAGTTCTCTACTTAATCTTTATTATGTTTCGAGACATTATTTAGCCTATTATTTCATAAACTTAAAATAACTTTTAGTAGTATATTGAGTAATTTGTTTTGTGCTAAGTGCTGGGGAGTCATTTATGAATGAAACAGACACAGTCTCTGCCCTTTTGGAACTAGGGGGTCAAGCACATTTAAATTCTAACTGGTCTTTTAAATTTCCTTTTTAGGAAAAGATAGAAGCAATTAATCAAGCCATAGCCAATGAATATGAAGTTCGGAGAAAGCTGCTAATAAAACGTTTGGATGTCACTGTCCAGTCTTTTGGCTGGTCTGACAGAGCTAAGGTACATATAAAATATTTTATTTTTTAAGATTTTATTTATTTATTTGAGAGAGAGCACACAAGCTGGGAGAAGGGGCAGAGGGAGAGGGCGAAGCAGACTCCCCTTGAGCAAGGAGTCTGATGACTTGGGGCTCCATCCCAGGACACTGAGATAATGACTTGAGCCAAAGGCATCGTCTTAACCCACTGAGCCACCCAGGTGCCCCATATTAAATATTTTAAAAGAGCAGAGTATTTATAGACATGAGACTTAAACATTCTTAGCACAGTTTATTTATTTATTTTTAAAGATTTTATTTATTTATTTGAGAGAGAGAATGAGACATAGAGAGCACGAGAGGGAAGAGGGTTAGAGGGAGAAGCAGACTCCCCGCTGAGCAGGGAGCCCGATGTGGGACTCGATCCCGGGACTCCAGGATCATGACCTGAGCCGAAGGCAGTTGCTTAACCGACTGAGCCACCCAGGCGCCCCTTAGCACAATTTAGATACAGTGGAGAGAGAAATGCATAGTAGACACATATAGGAATTTTTCTTTCGTGAGTTGCTGAGTAGCAATTCTTTCAGCCTTTCAGCAATAATGAAAACATTTTTTTTTCAGCTTTTTAATATTTTTTTTAACAAAACCGTATGTTATAGACCATACTGGGAATACTTACTTGTAGGAGAAACAGAGTATTTGAAAATCACTGAAAGACTAAATATCACTAAAATAATTTTTAAATTACTCATTTACTGTACTTTAAGCTAACAATTTCATTTGCTAATTAAAATTAGAAATACTGGATTTAGCAAGACCAGATATTAGTAAGTATTTATAGAGAATTGAAGAATCTGGTAAGATTTCAGTTTTACTTCAAATTAAATGAGATAATCCGGGTAAAGATTTTGGTCATTCAACAGATATTTATTAAATATCTGTTATATGATCAGTGAGCAGAAGGTAATTGACACACGTGACTTCACATCCTTACAACCCTGAAATGGAACTAATCCTTGAACTTATGGGGAGGTTGGTCCAGTTGTGTATTATATGTTCCCTTAATAGTGCATTCATGTTTGAAAACAGATTTTTTTTTTAATTTTAGTTGACTCCAAAAAAATTTTTATGTAGTTTTCCTAAATAATGTTACGTTATTTTCACCTAAAATCTTTAAACCTTGGCACAGCCCTATTTGGTTGCTAAATTGTTGGGGTAGGTATTTATTGAGTTACAGTATTTCAGTGTTGGAAAGGGGTATTAGAGATCAGTCTTAACTCCCCTCATTTTGCAACTGGAAAAAAAAAAACACGGAGACCCAGTAAATGGGAGGCTTTGTCTGAGATGTCACAGCTAGTCCGTATCAACACCAGCAGCAAATCGTTCTCTCCTATGGCTGTTGTGTAGGAAATGCCAGTCCTTTCCTAAGTTATCTTTGATAGAAACAATCATTCAAAATAAGAAGCCTGCACCTCTTAGCTGGAAAACTATCTACCAACGAAGTCGTGCACCGACTGAGGCAGTACTATGCGGTTCTGATTTTGGCCCTGTCTTTACTGGATTGTACAGCTGGTATCCTGACCCACTGTGTCTGAGCTTCCGTCTCTCTCCCCATTTTTGACATCTTTAAAATGCCATGTTTAATCTAGGGGTTATTTTAAGATTCTTTTGAACCATAATACACAATGATTTTATGAACTATGTAAATATATTGGAGAGGATAGGGAAGGACTATACAAATTACACAAATCTATGTTTTCATCAAGTGGAATTTATATACTGATCATCTCATTTTGAAACTTGGTTTTAAATCACTTTATAGAAATAACTTTGCACAAAATGAGCCAGTTTCAGATAAGGAAATCTATGTATTTATATCACTTTGAAATTGCATTTTAAATCAGTTTTATTTGAAACATTAAGCTACCTTCTCAAAGGCGTTTGTCTCCATTCAACAAACATTGACTGAGCACTTACTGTAGGCACAAGTGACCATAAGAAAGACATACAAGACCTGTTCAGGAAACTTCCCTCCAGACAAGCTATGGAATGATAATCTCTTTATCCTTTTAATTATTCAGGTAATTTTTTTCTAATAAAATAGTCACTGATCATTCCATTGTCTTAACCACAATAGCTATTTTCATTTTTAGTATTGTCTTCTTTGCTTTGTTTGCACAATTGTAATAAACATACCTTTTTACATCCTTTTTTTCCCATATAATTTAAACAATTACAATATCAGTATTTGAGTACCTGCATATAACTGACAGACTTACCAAATATTTTTTTTCTCTGTACTATTTTACTGTGTGTTATAGCTGTTGTTTCCAAAATTTAGTAGATAGATTGTTATTTCTCACAATTTAGGTTAATTGGCTTTTTTTTTTTTTAAGATTTTATTCATTTATTTGACAGAGACAGGAAGAGAGGGAACACAAGCAGGGGGAGTGGGAGAGGGAGAATCAGGCTTCCCGCTGAGCAGGGAGCCCGATGCGGGGCTTGATCCCAGGACTCTGGGATCATGACCTGAGCTGAAGGCAGCCACTTAACCAACTGAGCCACCCAGGCACCCTGGTTAATTTGCATTTGTTGATTCCTGTCTGAAAAACATTTCTTATATTTGTTCGAACTTTATTTTCTCGTGTGTGAAATTTCTGTTTATGTCTTTTGCAGTCTTGTGTTTCACACACATTGAAGTGATGTGCCAAGGTGTCCCAGATTCCCAGTTGTTTGTCTGTCAGGAGCTGACAGTCTTAATCATTAATTTATACTTCTACTAAATGGTTAAAGTAGACTTTTTTCCTTATTTATTAACTTATAATAGAGGAAAGTATTACACAGGGGGGATCACTTCAGAAGAAATGTATCCTGTTAGTTAGAACAAATTAACCGTAGCTAACGTTTTTTATCTCATTGTAAGCAAAGATGGGAAAATTCAAAAGCAAAATTTTTGAAATTAGTTTACATCCTTATATTTAAATAGATAGAATGAATATGTTTGAGACCAATGTCAGGGGGGACCTTTTTACCCCCACAATCCTGAAGGGAAGCCCCTCTACCCTGTGTGTCCCCTTTCCAACATTATTCCTTGCTCTATCAGCAAGTCTGACAGCTGTGTCTTAGGGTAGTTCTTGACTAGGTAGGAACAAGGGTGAATATAACTTTTTTCCTCCCCTCTTAAGCCGAGTAACTATTATTATCAGACATTTTGGAAGTCTTTAACTTATTTAATATCAGTGTTTCTGGAGTGCCTGGGTGGCTTAGTCGGTTAAGCGTCCGCCTTCGGCTTGATCCCGGGGTCCTGGGATCGAGCCCTGCATCGGGCTCCCTGCTCAGTGGGGAGTCTGCTTCTTTCTCCCTCTCCCTCTCCCTCTGTGTGTATGCCCTCTCTCTCTCTAGCTCTTACTTTCTCTCAAATAAAAAAAAAATAATAACGTCAGTGTTTCTATGTCATTTTGAAAATTGACTTTTGTCTTTGAACACTTTGCTTCAACAGAGTCAGACAGAAAAATTAGCAAAGGTTTATCAGCCGAAACGCTCAGTTTTATCTCCTAAAAGTACCATTTCTGTTGCCCACCTTCTGGCTGCAAGACAAGACTTGTCAAAGATTTTAAGGACAAGCAGTGGCTCTATAAGAGAAAAGACTGCCTGTGCCATCAATAAGGTGATTGAAGTACTTTTATTTTCTTTCAAATACATTTATTTCTATTAATAAAATATAGTAGTTTAAAATATCTTTCTTATCCCATAGGTGTTGATGGGCAGGGTGCCTGACAGAGGAGGTAGACCCAATGAAATTGAACCTCCACCTCCAGAGATGCCACCATGGCAGAAACGGCAAGATGGCCCCCAGCAGCAAGCAGGAGGCCGAGGAGGAGGGAGAGGTGGTTATGAACATTCCTCATATGGAGGACGAGGAGGTCATGAACAAGGAGGAGGGAGAGGTGGACGTGGTGGCTACGACCATGGTAGCCGAGGGGGAGGAAGAGGAAATAAGCATCAAGGAGGCTGGACGGATGGAGGGAGTGGAGGAGGAGGTGGCTACCAAGATGGTAGTTACCGAGATTCGGGTTTCCAGCCGGGTGGCTATCATGGTGGTGGCCACAGTGGTAGCTATCAAGGCGGTGGTTATGGCGGCTTCCAAACATCTACATATACAGGAAGTGGATACCAGGGTGGTGGATACCAGCAGGACAATAGATACCAAGATGGTGGGCACCATAATGATCGAGGCAGTGGTCGTGGAGGGAGAGGTGGTCGCGGAGGCCGAGGTGGACGTGGAGGCCAGGGAGGAGGTTGGGGAGGAAGGGGGAGCCAGAATTATCACCAAGGGGGACAATTTGAACAGCACTTCCAGCATGGAGGTTATCAGTATAATCATTCTGGATTTGGACAGGGAAGACATTATACTAGTTGAGGCTACAGAACCTTACACTTTGCTAGAGCTCAAGTAATAGAAACTTAGTTTCAGAATCCTGAGTCCAGCATCAATATTGAATTAATGTGAGACCACAGGTGGCAGGCAGATTCCTGCTTGGCATAAGTATTTGTAGTAGGTCTTCATTCAATTCTGTTGGGTTTGTGGTTTGTTTTTTTTTTTTTTAAAGGACTTACATGACAAAAGTTTGAGAAACACGTACAACATCTCTCCTTTATATAAATAACTTTTTAAAAGGTAATTAAAAAATTGCCTTTAACTGACCAGTAGACTAATTCCACAGTCAGAACATGCATACTTTTTTGGGAAGAAATTACTTGAATAAGTAGTTTTCAAAAAAGCGGTTTTGGAAATGAGGATTCTCCTAGATTTTTTTAGATTTTCAACTAGGAAATCTTCCTCATATTAACAGTCCATTTGTATGTGTTTTCCTTAAAGTATTCTAATACCTGTTTTCCGAGCACAGTTCTGCCCTGATTGATTGGCTTCTTATTCAGAGAGATTATGCCACATTTGCTTCATGATAGACTTTTAGGTCAGTTCCTATTAAATGAGCTCTTCCACAGATAGCACATTCAGTAGCCTTATCCTTTTGATGGAATACTGTACCATATGCTCAACTCTGAAAACCTTGAACACGGCCAAAATCCGTAAAGATTATAAAAGCAAACTAAGTTGTGAACCTATACTACATGTAGGCATTTATATAGTATAGCAATTCAGACTGACCTGCATCCATTCAAAACAAGTTCCTCCTTAAACCTTATTTTTACTTGAAATCTGTTAGAAGAAACAGCAAACTGAAATTTGTTTTATGCATGAGTTAATACCACTGGCTCAGCAAATACAAGTTAGTTTGCTTTGGGCAGGAGACTTTTTTTGTAATGGAAGAAATGCACTACCAAGTAAGAGGACAGATTTTTGCTTAGTGCAGGAGGCCCTTTATTATTGCTGCAGAAAACAAAAGCCTGGCTGAGTTGATGTTTTACATTCTCCTTTACTGAAATCAACATGAAGCTTCTTGCTGGGTTTTTGTATACGTAAACATTGTCAAGCTGTGAAAGAAAATGGCTGGAGGTGTGCTTTGTGTGAAAGGTGAGCAATAAAGTATCTGTATGTTCTCTCTCTGGTTTGAGTTTTATTTTAGCTACTTTTAAAAACTGAATTAATGTGGATACTTGTTTCAAGCTTATGAGCTAAGGCATCTGTTCCCCCAAAAATTCTTGAGTGTTTCTTTAAAACATAATTTGTGATGAAAGATAACCCTTACCCTAAAACCATAAATAAATTGAAAAAACCCTATTTCCAAATTGACCTTTTTCTATAAAACTATAGCTACAAAACTTCACTACTCATTTCTGGCCACTGGGTGTAGCTGTTGTTACACAATGTATTAGGCAAAGATAAATTAATGGCCCTAATCTTTCAGGGCTTTTTTGGTTTGTGTTTTTTTGTTTTTGTTTGTTTCTCCATTCTTCCTAAGAATGAGGGACATTTCTCTTCAAAGGAAGTGAAATGAAAATATATGTTTGTAAAAACAAATAATAGTATTTCCTTTTCCTACTAATTTAGGCCTTTTAGAGTAAAGAACTCATGTCTTACCACAGAATAGCAATAATCTTATTTGCTATTGAGATAAGCACATTCTTTTGGTACCTAAAAACCATTTTGAAAGCCTACCTTGATTATTTTGTAAATTTTACCTGTATATTAGATTTTTTTGGCAAGCCTTTACCATTCTAAACTTGAAGACAATTTAAAATACTTTTATTTATCATTAAAGATTTTAAGGTTTGTCTTGAAAGTTGTATTAGCCTCTTTATGCTGTTAAATATGTTTAGTATGTATAGGAGTTTCCTATTAGAGATAAAATTGTCAAGGTTTCGTATCTTAGAATGTATTCACATTTACCTTAGCATTTGCTTTAATCTGTTTTGTAACCAAAGACTCCACAGTATATCTCATGAATATGTTTCATTCTTTTGACAAATATAATTGATTTATTTTTATGGTTAATAGATTGCTTTTCAAATTTGAGCATATAAGCAAGCAAATTATACATTTCTCCATGATGGCTTTAAAATCTGCATCTTCATTTTCTGCTTCAAACTAGAATTTTTTCCCCCCATTATAAACCCAAAAAAGAATTGTCTTTTAGTTTCTCCTGTTTTGACACAAATTAAGTTCTCGGATAGGATTTCAAACCACCAGTTAGTTTGTTGTTATATCAAAATAAAGTTCTTAGATTTTGTGTAGAGCGTGTCTGTTGATTTTACACACATTCTTAACTTTAGCTTGTAGTAAGAACTTACTGGGAATATGGGAATTTCTTGGAGAAACGAGAACAAAATTTTTAGGAGGGAATTTTTGATATATGAAATCTTAAAATGCTATTACTTAGATTGAGAAAATACCTTTTGTTAGTGCTATGCTTCTTCCCTACACCAGGAAGTCAACATTCTCTATGAAAATTATTATCAAAGATATGCCACTATCATTTTCATTTCTTGCTCTAGACCCAAACTGAGCTAGTGTCCAACTATGCTGGACATAGAAGAGTTAAATAAATTCTTGGAAAGCATTTGAAATCATTTCTATGTATACGTAACCTGTTTTTCCCACTGCCCAAATCATTTATATTCTTATACTTAGATATTTTAGGTAGTGCCCTACCTACATTTCTGGTAGGTAAAATATTAAATGTAAAGTATTATTTACCTATATTATATCCATTTGAATATAGGTTTCAAATGTATGCATATCATTTAACTCTCTTAAGTACTTTGAATGGTATTTGATTCATTTTATTTTAATAGGGCCATTGGGTTTACTTAAAAAATACATCACAGGGTTACCTAATGTATATAAAATGTCTTTTTTTTTCCCCTGTTCTTGTTTCTCTCATTCCTCACTAACATAATTATAATATTAGAAATGCTCTTTTTGTTCAGTGCTCCATTTCCACATTTGGATACATTAATGTATTCCCACAATTCAAACCATTGATGAAAGAGGTATGCATGTCAGTGTTTGAACTCACTTACCTCGGGTACTTTTAGTCCCCTGTAAAAGTATGTTGGTAAAGACATTGCATAAACACAGCTGTTGGCATGAGAACTTCCCCAAAATATCCTTTACTTCCCACTAAATGTAAATGAAGAAGCCTGGGGTGGAACTAGAATAAAACATTTTTTTAACATGTTCCCCAGGAATTTGAGGGAAAACCTTAAAAAAAAAATACAAAGGTAAGTTAGAAAGTCTTGCCTTGGAAAATGTGCAGTGGCAGACCCAGAAACAGATAATTACAGCATAAAATCATAAAAAATGGAAGTTATGCCAGGGACCTAGGATAGCAGTGTTAAGTATTGCTCATATGAGATGGAAACTGGCAGAAGTTGGAAAGGTGGTAGAGGCCAACTAATAGAGGGCACTACGCATCTTCCTGAGTAACTTGGACCTGGTTTGTGTACCTCAGTATACCACAGTAGGCAACATGGTCAGATTTGGATTCTATATAAATCATTGGCTAGAGGAGAGAATAAATTTAAGGAGGAGCAAAAACTGGAATCAGAAGCTTAGAGCTTAAACTAATATATACAATAATAGGGATGGGGGATGATTTCAATCTGAAACTTTGGAAAATGTCTGGAGACAGATTTGGGAATGATCAGCATCCAGTGATTTTGCACTGGAATATTCAGTTAGAATAATGATTCTGTATTAAATCACCCAAGAGGGAGGAAAGAGCCTCAGACCAATGATAGGATCTTGGGGAATCACTTAAGGGGTGATGGAGCAGGGTCACAGAAGCAAGAGGAAAACAAGAGCATCATGGGAATCTAGGTTTAGTAGTAAGGGCAGTAGTCTGTTACACTTCATCAAGAGCATTGTGTTACCCGTTTCCACACATAAAGTGGAGCCCAGGATGGTTGAATAGACTGCCCACATCCATGTAGGTAGTAAGCAGGGAGCTGAAATCAAATCTAGAAATCAGTTGCATTTCTATACACCAACAACAAGACAGAAGAAAGAGAAATTAAGGATGGTTAATTTGCAATTTACAATTGCACCCAAAACCATTAGATACCTAGGAATAAATCTAACCAAAGAGGCAAAGGATTTGTTCTCAGAAAATTATAGGATACTGATGAAAGAAATTGAGGAAGACACAAAGAAATGGAAAAACGTTCCATGCTCATGGATTGGAAGAACAAATATTGCAAAAATGTCTATGCTACCTAGAGCAATCTACACATTCAATGCAATCCCTATCAAAATACCACCCACTTTTTTCAAAGAAATGGAACAAATAATCCTAAAATTTGTATGGAACCAGAAAAGACACCGAATAGCCAGAGGAATGCTGAAAAAGAAAAGCAAAGCTGGTGGCATCACAATTCCGGACTTCAAGCTCTATTACAAAGCTGTCATCATCAAGACAGTATGGTACTGACACAAAAACTGACACATAGATCAATGGAACAGAATAGAGAGCCCAGAAATGGACCCTCAACTCTATGGTCAACTAATCTTCAACAAAGCAGGAAAGAATGTCCAATGGAAAAAAGACAGTCTCTTCAACAAATGGTGTTGGGAAAATTGGACAGCCACATGCAGAAGAATGAAACTGGACCATTTCCTTACACCACACACAAAAATAGACTCAAAATGGATGAAAGACCTAAATGTGAGACAGGAATCCATCAAAACCCTAGAGGAGAACACAGGCAGCAACCTCTTCGACCTCAGCGCAGCAACTTCTTCCTAGAAACATCACCAAAGGCAAGGGAAGCAAGGGGAAAAAGGAGCTATTGGGACTTCATCAAGATAAAAAGCTTTTGCACAGCTAAGAAAATAGTCAACGAAACCAAAAGACAACTGACAGAATAGGAGAAGATATTTGCAAATGACCTATCAGATAAAGGGCTAGTATCCAAAATCTATAAAGAACTTATCAAACTCAACACCCAAAGAACAAAT